GGGCAGGTGCAGTGGGGCTGGATGGGGGGACAGGAGGAGGAGCACTGGCCGGGAGGCGGCTGGCTCTGGGGAGGGAGATGGGGAGAGATTCAGCGAGAGAGCTGGGACCTGGTCGATTTCTCCTACGCTGACCACGACAACGGCAACCTCTACATAGGTACCTTCCGCTGCTCCCTCTGCGCCCGGAGGGGACCGGCCGCCCCATCAAACAGTGCGGGGCAGGGGGGTAGAGAAGGGCTCAGGGATCCAACAGAATAGGGGTCTCGTCCCCGCTCTGCCACTGCCTCCCTATAGGATTCTCGGGCAACTCCCACAGCTGCTCTGTGCCTCCGTGCCAGGTGGGTCTGTGGGACCGGCCGCCCCATCTAACAGTGCAGGGCAGGGGGGTAGAGAAGGGCTCAGGGATCCAACAGAATAGGGGTCTCGTCCCCGCTCTGCCACTGCCTCCCTATAGGGTTCTCGGGCAACTCCCACAGCTGCTCTGTGCCTCCGTGCCAGGTGGGTCTGTGGGCCCAGCTGACCTGCTGCCCAGCCCAGATGCTCCCTGCACCTGCGCCGTGCCAGTCGGGTTCAGCCTGGCCGGGAGTGTCGCCCATTGCTGCTAGCAGGTGGGCAGCCTGACACCCTCCCCCCCCCGCAGGCAGGTGCGAACTGGAGCAGGGGAAGCACCTTTAATTCCATGGGGAGGCTGGCAAGGGGGTCTCGTGGGGGTCGGTATCCTCTGTGCCCGGGGCTAGCTGGGCCTCCGTCCCCCCCACCCCGCTGCTGCTATTGCCCGCATGGCTGGCCGGGCCAGAGCCAGCCCTCTAGGTCAGGGTGGGGGGGGGTGCCCGGCTGCCAAGCAGCCTCCGTGGGCCCTGGGACCCCAGAAAGGGCATCAGCCGGCCAGGTGCTGAGCTGGCACCTCTGCCAAGCATCGGGCCTGCGTAAGACTCCCCCAGCTCTGTCCAGTTTGGGGCCAGGCTTGGCACCAGCTCTGGGCCACTCAGGCATCCGGGGCTGACCCAGCGGTGCC